TGTGTGTGTGTGTGTGTGTGTGTGTGTGTGTGTGTGTGTGTGTGTAAATAAATGAAACTTTGCCTTTGCTTTCTCAGATAGCGTCAGGGATGGCTTATGTGGAGAGGATGAACTATGTGCACAGAGACCTTAGAGCTGCTAACATCCTGGTGGGAGATAACCTGGTTTGCAAAGTTGCTGATTTCGGTCTGGCTCGTCTCATTGAGGATAATGAATATACCGCCAGGCAAGGTAAGATCTGTTACAAGTTAGATTATGACATCTGTGTTTTTACACTGTTGTTCTATGTGGCACTGTGATTCCTCGCTTTTTTATTTTGACCTAAAATTAGTTTTAAAAAAATCTCATCCCTTATGTCGTCTTATGACCCTCTCAGTTGTTTATACTCTCTCATGTTGGGTATCACTAATTTCACTCTTGCAGTTTCTTTTTTTCTTTCAGTTTGCGCTACAATGATCTAATCTAAACCTGCTGATAAACCTGTCCTCTTGCAGGAGCCAAGTTTCCCATCAAGTGGACGGCTCCTGAGGCTGCGCTTTATGGCCGCTTCACTATTAAATCTGATGTCTGGTCTTTTGGGATCCTGCTGACTGAACTGGCCACCAAAGGCCGAGTGCCCTATCCAGGCAAGGATCTTTTTTTCAGGCCAAGGAGTCTGTCTGTTTATTTTAGTTTTGCTGCCATGGACACACAACTCACTTGAAGCTTATTTTTCAAAACCAATAATATGATTCAAACTGTGATTGTGAGCTTCCAACATCACATCTCTCTGTCCTCTCCCAGGTATGGTGAACCGAGAGGTGTTGGACCAGGTGGAGCGTGGTTACAGGATGCCGTGCCCAGCGGAGTGCCCTGAATCCCTTCACGAGCTGATGCTGACCTGCTGGAGGAAGGAGCCTGAGGAGAGGCCTACCTTTGAGTACCTGCAGGGCTTCCTGGAGGATTACTTCACCTCCACAGAGCCTCAGTACCAGCCAGGAGAGAACCTGTAACCAAGCTGACAATGTTTACGTGCACGCATTATGGATGTGCAAAACTGAGCATGTGCATCTGCTTGAACAAGTATGTGTGAGGGCATGTTTGTTTGTGCAGAAATCTGGCATCATTCTGGGTACAATCAGTGACTCTCTGGTGTGGAGTGTCGGTGGATCATCAAACCAATCAGCTAAATCCAGTCTTTCCAAAGGCATTTTCATTCTCTCCAGTGTGTCCGTTCCAAGGGACTATTTTTAAAGTAAGGGACTTCAAGTGTGGCTTTGTAGTTTGTCATACAGAACTCTGTCAATCAAATCAACATCCTACACAAGCAAACAGGTTTGTCCACCTTCCTTGTGTTTGCAAGGTGCCCTATTATATCCCCTAAGTATTGTTCGTGTGTTAACTCGCCCGACGAATCTTGCAGCGTCAGCACTGCAAGTGACATCCGACTACGACTTGAACATCAGTCTGACACAGGAGTCCAGAGAATGAACATCGGATACAATCATTTTACTGCTGACACCACCACCACAGGATGGCTATTTTACTTTGGGATCCCTTTTGAAACACATGCTCAGACTCTGTCTTCCATTTCTCCACTTTAGAAGCAACCATTTGAAACATACAATAATTAAATATTGTGGATTTTAATTTTTTAAAAATTGTTTTATTAGACCTGGATCAGCTGGAAAAAAATTCACAGAGACATTTATATTTTATAGTCATGCTTCCCCTGTTCAACATTGAGGCAAGTTTCCCATCTGCTGTGAGATTTCGTAAGAGCGTGCAGTCTTCTTCACCGATTGGACGAATTGGTTTATCGCTGTGACCAACATACAGCTCAACACCAAGAAAAGAAGAGGCAAGGTCTGCCTCTCTACTTTTAAATTTTGTGACTTTTCTTACTCTAGACAAAAGGCTACTGATCACTAAAGGTCATCTCAGGATAGTGAAGACAAGAATTCTGCTGCAAGGATTTTTGTGCCAATGAAAATGTCTTTTTTGTACTCTCTTCTACTGTGTAAAAGTGTATTTTAATACTCTGAACTTTTCTTATACTGAAGCTTGAGTTGTGTAAAGAGAGGTTACGCTGTTGTTCTTCTGAGAGGATAATCCACTGTTTTGAGATTCTGCACCTGTGTACACTACCAACCGGCTCACCAGCATGGTTTTATTGTGCTGATTTGCTTTTAAGAATTCAAATTAAAATCAGGTGAATCTTCTTTTAAGTCTCCTTCCAGTTCTGACCTTTATTAATATGAAGACTTTTTTTTTTTTAACCAGAGTTGGTATTTCACTCACTAGTGCGCCTTTGAGCACAATCTGACACTGGAGATACTGCGTTTCTGTTCTCAGTAAAGATGATAAATGAGCAACAAAGTGAATTTGTGCTAAGTTGTTAGTGCTCCCTCTGACCTGTAGGAGGCAGACTACCAAGCTTTCCTAGTAACACATTAGCATGTAAAGCAAATGAATTGGCATCTTGACACCTAATTGTAAATATCCTTAATGCTAATATTTTGTATATATCATCTCTATAATTTATTCCTTTTAAAATATCCCACTTGTTTATTTTTCTTTCAGCATCATTGTTCAACCTTGTTCATGGTACTTTAATGAGCTAAATAACACCTGACAGTAATGATATTAAAAGAATATATTATTATTATTATTATTATTATTATTATTACAGAAACACTTTTCATTACAATATGTTTATTTGTGCACGTATTTCTGTGAAACTTAATCTCAGTTGTAAATTTTCAATATGACTGACGGAAGTGTTGAGAAGAGACCGCACTGAGTCACGTTTTTGTCGAGGCACTTGTGTTTCGGCATACACTAATAATCTACCAGCATTGCTACTTCCCATGATGCAATCGAGAGCATAAATGTTTACATAATTGTCATCTGCAGATCATTTTGGTGCTGCTTGAAAGGCTGAGTATAGAGCAGCAACATTTCTTGCCCAACATTGTGCGCCGCCATCCCCTGCATGTATGTACTTCCAGGCTCATTCGGTGGTATGATTGGATTCTCCAGGATTTCATAAAACACTACTGATTAGGATTCCACTCAGAAGATGACATAGCTGCCACAAATGGACGGAGCTTGATACACTGACCTGCATATGTGTAGTCAGGCTGTCTACCATCATCCCCTCTTTTTTTTTTCTCCTATTGTCTCATGGAATGTTTGTGAGCAAAAATACAGAAAAAGTGCATGTTAAAGGTCATATAGTCAGTATGCAGCCTTGCTTATAAGCCAAGGGCATTTCTTGTGGGGTTCTGTGGGTCTCCTTTCTGGCTATGCAGATATTTTTTAAATCTGTGATTTTTCCTATATATACTTTTTTTCTACTGTAATCAATGGGAATTTTCACATAAATAACTCTTTGTTAAATCCTACTGAATACTGTTCAAATTTGAATAAAAATTGTATATTGCCAGTAGTGTGCTCTCTTCTGTTTTCTATAAGAGACCGAAGCTCAAGACTGCTGCTTTTGCACATGTTTTACTTTCATTATGTAAATTTGACAGTTGCCAAAAACAGGGTGAGTGAGGGTGTGCATTTTTAGCACATGCTTCCGCACACAGCTGCAGTTTCGTGACTGTGAACAAAATCCTTAATGATTCTGTTGTAGGTTGTGGAGGGTGACCTTGCAATTAATTAGAAAAAGTGTCACAGCAAACAGAAACACACACAATGCAAACAGTCTATTATTTTTTTGCTGATATTTGGAGCATATGTATATTGATTAGAGACCACGCCATGGAGGATTTATAATTGTATGCACAGCTGGATATGATTTTTATTTTAAAGTATTCCAGTTACTTATATAATTATACAGGAATCACACCTAATATTGTATTATTATACAATTAAAGTGTAATTGTATGCATAAGGCAGTATATACTGTATGCAGTGCAATAATGCAGAGATGGAAAAAGTATTTACATTATCAAGTTGAAACAAGGCTTTTTCTTGAAGAAATATTATAGTTTACGCATAACCTGTAAGTATAAATATATAGGGCAGTAAAATATCACTATTTCCCTACTAAATACATTATTATTTTTGTTCATGAAACCTTACAAAAATTACATAAAATGTTACTTTACTTGACTATAAGATATATTATGGCTGAGACCATACTGGGTTTTTTATGTATTAATTTTGGAGAATAATATCACTAATGCAATAATAAAGCTAAGACCCTAAAGTAATATAAACTGGGTGACTTAACCTAACTAATATAAATGTTACGCCCAAGACCTCACAGTACTTCTAATATGAAAATGCATAGTATAATAGAGAAAGCAAGGTGTCTCAGTTGGTAGCACTGTTGCCTCACAGCAAGAAGGTCTCTGGTTCGCATCCTGGTGGGGGCTCTTTCTGCGTGGAGTTTGCATGTTCTCCTCGTGTAGCGCGGGTTTTCTCCGGGTTCTCCGACTTCCTCCCACACAGTCCAAAAACATGTTGAGGTTAATTGGTGATTCTAAATTGTCTGTAGGTGTGAATGTGAGTGTGCTTGGTTGTCTGTCTCTAAGTGTAGCCCTGTGATAGACTGGTGACCTGTCTAGGGTGTCCCCTGCCTTCGCCCTAAGCCAGTTGGGACAGGCTCCAGCCCCCCCTGCAACCCAAGTAAGGATTAAGTGGATTAAGCGGTGTATAGATAATGGATGGATGGATGGATGGATGGATGGAGCTACACAGGTGACACTAAACCATCCCTTAGTTCTGCTGCTATAGGCCTAGGCTGCTGAGGGACTTCCCATGATGGACTGAGCATCTCCCCTCTCCTCTTCTCTCACTACACATTCATGTGACACCATTGCATGTCACTAAATGTGTGTCCTCTCTCTCCTGTAATTTGTGTTTTGTCCTGTATGAAGGTATCTTTGGCCCTGGAGTTAAACATTTCTAATCGGCAGTCACCAACCTCCCCAGTGTGTATTGTTCTCTTTAGCATTGTTTCTTTAATTTCTGTCTGTTGTCCTGTTATCTTGCCCCTTTACCCTCACCCCAAAAATGAGTTTCCCATAAGTGCTTGCTCTAAAGGAACTGGAAGGAAACATTGCTGGGTGTCTCTGCATGATATTGTAAGGGGTTTCAGCTTACTATCTAAAGTGTCTTGACATTACTTGAATGAGCACTGTATAAATAAACGAAATTGAATTGAGGTTTTTCCTAGCTAGCAGTCAGCGTTCCCACAGCAACAACAAAACATCACTTATAGTTCAATGCTAATGTTTTCATCTTTTGTTTTAATCGAATGTTGGAAGAATGTTTCAGGGAGATTTGTTTTTTCAAATACTGTCCCTCAGATATTAAAAGTTGACTAAGACTCACATTGTAACTGTAACATTCAGAATGTTGATGTCTGAAGGATGTGGTCAGGGCCACAGATTATGTTTCACAATAACAAACGAGGAATGAAATCAGCATTGAAAAAATGTTTTAAAGATATCATAAAGGCCATAGTTGACAGTTTGTTTTATTATATAAAACATTCCTGCAATATGATATATTAACAAGGTAGAACATTATGCTTGCAATATTCAGAACATGTTTGGGGGATGTTAGTGAGATAACACATTACAGAATGTCTTAGTGCAACATTTAGAAAATGTTTTAGGATTGTTAGGAAATAACGGTTTACCAGTGTTATCATCCAATAAATGTAAATGTCTTTAGTTGTACCAAATTGAGGAAGAGAATTCTGAGAACTAAAACATTACTAGACCTTTACTGAACATTTTAGAACAAATACATTCTTGCTGGGTTCTCAGCGACTGAATTTTTTACTTGTTCTTTTTTTGTGGTTATTGTATGTTTTTTTGTGGTTTGTTTGCTTGTTTTACATAGCACTACACCTCATATGCAAAATAACAGCTTTGTTTTTGGAATTGCAAAACTCGAGTTTTAATTTTGCAAAACTTATTTTTACACTCAGCAGTGCAGCCTGTCTTTATTACTATTGTTATTATTATTATTATTATTATTATTATTACTTTGCAAACAGTGACCTTCTAGGAACGTTCAGGGAATGTTTCCTAAATGTTAAGCAAACACTAACCTTTACAGAGTGTTCCCTGAAGCTTCCCTGGCAATTTAGCAAACAGTGACCTTTAGCATATCTTCAGGAAACTTTCAGGGAACATTCCCAGAAGGGTACCCAGAAACTGTAACCTTTAAGGCATGTTCAGGTAACCTTCAGGGAACGTTTTATGAAGGTTCAACAAACAGTAAGCGACAGGAAACGTTCCCTGAAGCATCCTTGAACCCTAAAGGTACAACAGCAATGATAATGGTGACATTTTAGTTTACGTTCATTGTGAAAGGTTTTCGTATTACTGCTTTGTGTAAAACATTTTTTTTTTGTAGCATAACAAAAATAATATTAAATATGATGTTTTTGTCATTTAAAAAAATATTATTGTTTTTTTTTTTTTTTTTCTTTCTTACAGTTCTTGTTATTGTTGTTATGCAGGAGCTCTGATCCTTACTCTTAGCTGGTGGATGGCTCATCGCCACATGTTGCCCTCAGGTTGGACGTTTTCACCCTAACATCTACCCGCTCGTCACGTGCGCTCGCGCTCTCGCCGTGTCTCTTTAGAGAAAGTCCCGGAAGATGCTTCAGTGTGCAGAGTGGGCGCGCGGCGCAGGTGAGCCAGCTCGCGCTCTTTACCTGTAAACAAAAGAGAGAAAGCAGACATGTTGACGACCCCCCGAGACTCGGTTTAATGGAGAGCCGCTTCCAGCACCGCTTCAAAGCCGGTAACGTAACTTCAGGACACCGCGAGCTCAGTTAAACACCGTGTCTTTGTTTTCTGTGCGCGCGGAGTCTCTTTGTTATTTGTGGTTACTTTTAAACTTTGCAGCTAATGTTGTGCTGCTGCTTTTGGTGACATTCATAGCTCACTGCGAAATGTTTTCATTGTACCGCTTTGTGTGAACCATATGTTCGGAGGTGGCCTCATATTTCAGCTCTCAGCGTTCTTTGAAATCTGGCCGCCTGCACTTGGTAACATATTGTGGCTACAAGCTGCTTTGGCACAGCAGCAACATTCAGTGCCACACCTTCCTGTTCATTTATTCGCTTTCTACCATTGTGAGCTCTTACTTATAAAATGTTTAAATGTCTCTGTGTGATTGCTGCCACCTGACATTTCTCGTTTTTCTTTTCTCCTCTCTCTGTCCCACTGATTCTCCCCTTTATTTCCTCTCTCACTCTCTTCTCCAAAACCTGCCAGGCTGGAGATCAGTGTTTGATCCAACATCCTGATACACACAGCACTGCCAGACACACTGCACAGAGCTTACACATGTAATAAGGTGGGTCAATCCACTCCCAATCCAGTCCAATCCACAGACTACGAGGGAAAACCAGGTCAATTCACCTTTAATTCCTGGTAGTTTCTGTCTGATCCTGTCCACAGCATTCCTGCTAGAACTCATCTCACCTTAGAATTGCCTAACACAAGTCACATGATGATGATGACTCTGTGAGTGCGCCTGCCTTTGCCACAGTGGCTGTACACTCAGCATGACAAAACTGTATTTTCTGTAGCAGTGTTGCACAAGTTGTTATGTTTGCGGTTTCCTGCAACATCACTGCACATCCTTGAAAAGGTGGCACAGAATAAAAATACAGCAGCCTCCTTGAGAATTAGATAAAAGAGTCAAGATGATCGTGTGAGTTATTTTTAGTTTTGACAGGTTGTCTTGTCTTCACGGACCACCTCACATTTGCTAACTGCTTTTTTTTTCCCATTTGCAGCACAGGCTCCCTTTATAGTCTGTTTGGAGATTTTCATTTGCATGTAGTCACTGTATAAAAATGAATCATGTCAGAACAAAGGTACCTCTGCAATCTACTTGTCAGGAGGCTTATTTATTTCTCTGCTCTGGTAGTGTCCACTTGGCAATTAATGAATAGAGAAAAGACAACTGGGATGATTGTTATACAATATAATTTAAATTATATATATATATTCCCCTTAAAATATCTTAAGTGTTAAAGGACTCACATCTTATTAAAATCATTGGCCACATTAAAGCTGTATTATTTTGATTTTGAGCTTTTGAGTTAAGCCACTGTGTTAAGTCATTGTCATTTAGATCTGTAGTGCTTCATCATACAAACAGTTGTTGGGTTTTTTTTAATCTTTGAGTTTATTGTGGGTTATAATTTTTTTTTAGTGACCGGAACAAATTACCTGCAGACTTAAAGGCAGTAAAGCAATAGCCAGGAAGAGACGGTAGTTTTATTGTCATCTTGTCATATTTCCTCAGAAACCGTGTCATCTCGACGTTGGTTTTCAGTTAATATCTAAAGACATTCAGAGGTGGAAATGCCAGGGAGGAACACTGGACTTAGTAGCACCTTCAACACAGTTTTTCATTATGCTCGCATGCAACACACAAACAGAGTCATGCACAAACATG